AAATTCACAGATTGGTCCTCGACTTTCAATTTCAACCAATTAAGTCCTTAACTTTGCCATTTTAACACAATTTGGTCCTTTGTCTATTTGACTGTTTGTTGACTGTGGTTTTTGAGGATATATATGTAATTTCATGATCCATCGTCAGTTTTTTAAGGTTCCGACTGCATTTCCAGACCGCACTGTTATATTTGAATCCACTGTCGAAAGCAATCTACCAACTCCGGTCGCCTTTCTTCATCCTCCCTTTGGATTCAATGTAGTTGAGTTCGTACCAGAGTAAAGAAGACGACGTGTTTCCGAACCGGTGCAACGTCATCCTGGAGGCCTCCACGTGAGCTTGAGCTTTGCATGTGAAATTACATATATATCATCAAAGATCACGGTCAACAAACGGTCAAATAGACGGGGGACCAAATCGTGTCAAAATTGTAAAGTTAAGGACTTAATTGGTTGAAATTGAAAGTCGAGGACCAATTTGTGAATTTAGCTATAGTTGAGGGACCATTTTGGGTATTTACTCATAAATATATAGCATTATTTTGTATTATAACTTTGATATTTAATTAGAAAAATAGTGCACAAAAAAAGATAATAGATAATGTAGTGAATATTATCAATTGATGAATTTGAATGTAAAAATTTTTAAATTTGAGAAAAATAAAGACAATATAACTAATGAAAATATTTCTTTTAATTAATTTATTGATAATTAATAATTTTTTTTTCACTGAATAAAGACATTGTAAGGATAATGTAGCGAATATAATCAATTAATAAATTTGAATATAAAGAATTTTTATATTGAAGAAAAATAAAGACAATATAACTAATAAAATTACATTCAAAAAAAAAAATTATTTCTCTTATTTAATTCATTGATAATGAATAATTGTTTTTTTGAATAAAGGCATTGTGGACACATAATTCTAAATTAAAGAAATGTATATGTATTATTTTTTGTTGTAACTACTAAATTATTATTTATATAATTTAATAAGAGTAAAATAGAGTACTAATTATGCCAACTTTGATTTGGATGAGGTTCGGACCTAAGACCTTTTGTAATTGAAATCAATTTGTAAGTTAACGGTGAACTAACGGCAATTCTTAAAATTTTAACAGAATTAGTAACGATGTGTGGGTATTTTAGGAAATTTTAGTGTGAAATTTAAATCTGATCAATCTTTTAATCAATCTGAGTCATTCATTTGATTAAAATCTGTGACCGCCATTTTTTCTACCCATTATAGGCCTAACTCTCTTGGGCTCTTATTAGTATAGTAGATATATATATATATATATATATATATATATATATATATATATATATATATATATATATATATATATATATATATATATATATATATTGTGTATCGACTTATTCACCACCACCAACAATCTTAAAACCGATTTATTCTTTTTGGTTAATTAAGTCGATGGCACCCACTATTGTTGTAAGCGGTAGCATGAATGTTGCTTGTGGTGCACATTCGTATCATTGGAGCGGCAACATAGTTGCACATTCCGAAACCCCGGTGAACTTAGATTCGAAAACAGGTGGTGGCATCAAAGGGTATATAACCCAACGATGAAGGTGCCTGTGTGTGTACCACATGGATGGGTCGGAAGACCGTGGAAATTCAAGGAGTTGAATTTCGAATGGTGGCAACTTAAAATGTTGTACAACGTAATGATTCTCGGCATGTCATGGTCCTTGACCGAGATGGTTCCAAGTAGAAAGGAACATGAGTCTAACGCTCAAATCGTTAGCGAAGTAACAGTTTGGAAATATTTTGTTTTCCTATGTCTAAACTACATTTTAAATGGTCTATGTGACTCGTTGTGGGAATCTTTGGACATGAAGTATAAAAGTGATGACGCTAAGGCAAAGATATTTGTCGTTAGCCGATTTCTTTAACACAAGATGGTGGATTCCAGGATCGTCTCGAGTCAAGTTGACAAAGGGATGATCTTGAGTGAAACTTTTCAAGTGGAACCTAGTATCCATTTGTTGCCTTTGGGCAGAAAGGACTTCAAGAATTTTAAGAAGAAACTCCACAGAAAATGCATCAACTGTGGCATTATGAGCCACAAGTGGGCTGATTGTAAAGCACTTAAGAGGAAGAATAATAATCATGTATCTAATGTGGTGCAGGTCAATCAGAATGAGATCGAAATCATCCTCTCGGCATTTGGAAGATCATATTAGACGTACAGTGGCATTTGGAACAGCTTGCAATGGTGGAATGTGATGAATGTCTAAAACTAATGCTTTTTCCTTGCACATTTTGGAAATTTTTGCTTGTTACTCGTTATATAATGGAGTCATTTTGGTCACTAATGGAATTATTGCATATGTTAGGTGAACTGACAAAGAAATGATGTTTTGAGACATTTGATGAAGTATTTGATCTAGTGTTTGGAGCCACCTTAACACGAGAGCACAATTGGATGATCAAAGTAATGATTTTTGAAGTTTTGGGATGGACCATGGCATGACCTGCGATCGAGGAGAGCACCGAAGCATTACCGAAGACTTTGGAGGCCTCCCTTACTAGCCATGGGCCTGGCCACACCTATGGCTAGAAGTCTGTGCACGCCCTTGCCCACACTCGTGGCCACAAGACAGTGTGCATGGTTCTGCTGGGCACAAAAGGCAGGGCCCCCACACCCCGGCCCGACAGAGCATTTTAGGAAGATGTAAATCATGGTGACTCAACTGAACATGAACCATAGAGGCTAGATCGGTGCTCACTGTGCACAAGGAGCCCCCCTCACTTTGAGAGGTTGCTCCCACACTGCCGCTGGTGAAATTCGATCCCTGGTCATTATTTCAAAGTTTCACCTCTATGACCAATTGAGCTACCCATGCGCGCATTTGCAACTATTCTTAAACAATCGACAAGTAATATGATTTATGTAATTATATTATTACTAAAATAAATATGATAAAAAGAGGAGAAATAATTTAATTTCAATTATTATAAAAATAAATTAACGACACATGTTTAACTTGATTATCAAAATAATTATTAGGAAATTATAGTAATATATATGTGATTATACTTTTATACTTTAAATATATTCCTTTTCACCATATCGTCTTTACTTTTTTCCTCCTCCTCCATATCTGACTGACTTAATTGTAATTATTATTAAAAAAATCCAATGACCCATGTTTAATTGTAATTATACTAATATCCGTGTAATTATTAGCTTAATTAACATAATCATTATTAGTCAATTATACTAATATATGTACAATTAATTCTTTAATTACCATGATAATTATTAGGTATTATACTAATATTGTATAATTATACTTTTATACCTTCAGTATAAAAAATATATAGAGAGAGAGATAATCATAAAATTACGACAGTAATTACACGGAAGAATAGAAATCATAATTTATTTTGTTCTCATTGTATAATACCTTAAGTGTATAAATAAATAAATAAATATGGTCGTTAGATTTTTTTTAATAATTGTTACAATTAATTTTATATATATATATATATATATATATATATATATATATATATATATATATATATATATATAGGGTGCAGATCCCATGAGACCCCTATATTAAATGAGTTTATGAGATCTCATCCCATCCGTTTATACATTTGTAATAGATGGATGAGATTGAATGACAAATATAGTGTAAATAAGGAGATATTTTAATTAGGAGGGTTAAAAAGTAATTGTATTAATGTGTTAATTTTGGTTAGAAATAGATTGGAATCTTTGACATAATGGCAGACCTTAAATATAATGGAAATTAAGTAATAATCAAGTCTGGTTAGTAGCTGTAAGATTCCTACCGTGAAGAGGAGGTGGTGAAATGCCATAAATTGCAGAGGTTGAAGATGGCGACCACTACCACTGGTATGACAAATGCTGAGTTGTTTTTTGAATTCATTTTGATACGGCAGTTTGTGCACCGATGTACGATGGCGTGTGCGTAGATGTGTTTTGTTGAATATTGTCTTGCAAATAAAATGATAGAGGAACACGAAGCATTTGGGATTTTTTGTTTTTGTTTTTCAGTAAAAAGTTGAATGCACAAACATGTTGGTAATTGGTGGACGGGTGGTATGTGCGTTTTATAATTTGGCGTGTGCATGATGTGAAATACGGGGGTTTTTACGTGGTTTGACATTCATTGTGAAGCTGTAATTATAATTGTAATGGGTGTGCGTGGACTACACTTGTTTGTTCAATTAGAATGAATTAGACGGTATGGGTATTATTTGGATGGTGTGTTATGGAACGTAGTATTTGTTCATTTTGGTATGTGCGTTTCTTAACGTCGGCGTGCACATGACATGCACTAGGGGGGTTTGGGTTTGGTGCGACATCCATCTTGTATTCAAACTTATTATTATAAGGGGTATGCGTGGAATGAAATTGTGTGTTCAATTTGATTGAATTAGACGGTATGACTATTATTTGAATGGTGCGATATTGAATGTAGTTTTTGTTCGTTTCGGTATGTGCGTTTGTTGACGTCGGCGTGTGCATGATGTGCATAGACTACTAGGTCCTATTACTTTGAACACGCACAGACCAGAATAGCACGCACAAACATCATCCCACAGTGAGATGCACACGTCAACCGTCAACAACGCACAAACCAGAGACAACACATCCCCCAAATAAATATTTTTGCATTTCGCGAGTTAAAAAAAGATAAACATTGGATCCTTGAGATAAAATGAATCTGGAAATACGATTAAAACTCCTGCTCACTCTAAGTAACAAAGATCCCTAATAAAACTCAAAAACATAAACATTATTATACCATCGACATACCAAAAACACTCGGTACAGTACAATACACAAACTGATGGGCTGCTACGCACAGACCATAAAACCAGTAAAATGCACACGCTAAGTAAAAAAACCTCATAACCAAACACAAAAACAGATACATTATACTACTAACGTCACGCCAAAATCACTCGTTCAAGAACAACGCACAAACTGAAGTCTGTATTCTTATGAAAATACAATCAAACCTGTAAAACATATAAATACCATAAGCAAACAACAAATCGCAAAACGAATGAAGTTGTATGTTAGCTTATCTTTTCCCACTGATGAGCATTATTGGATTCAGTTCAACAATAGCTTGATCTTGAGAAAGGATAGAAATCTGGTGTTCTGGAAGGCTGACCATCAATGTTCTTCACAATCTATCCCCAGGTGAAGGCATCACCATAATCAATCTCTTGCCAACTGCATTTCCCACATGATAACTCACATGGACTGGCCTCTTGTCCTCCCTAAACATGGCAGAGTACATTTAAAAAAAAAAAAAAAAAAAAAAAAAAAAAAAAAAAAAAAAAAAAACACCAAAACCCCCCATGACCAGAAAAAAAAATACCAGTACAAAAACACCAAAAAAAAAAAAAAAAAAAAAAAAAAAAAAAAAAAAAAAACCTTAACGCAAAACCCTACCCACTCTACAGCCCAACCCCCTATCCCACCACTGCAACACCCAAAACCAACCGCCTAATGCCCCCATTCCAACCCCGGCCCCCCGACCGGGAAAAGACACACCTCAACCCTCACGCCGGACACCCCCGCCGAAAATAACAAATGCGATTAAAAAAAAAAAAGATTCCGGCCGAAACACCGCCACAACCCCCTCCCATCAACAACCCACAAAAACTCCATGCAAAAAAACCCCCACACCGGAAACACTAACCCATCCCCGGAAACGCAGCCTTAATAATAAACATACAAAAAAAAAAAAAAAAAAAAAAAAAACCTAAACACACAAAACCGACGAGAACAAGGATTTACCTCGAGAAGAATTCGAATCACCTCCCTTTCGCCGATTAGAACCCCTTCAAGAAGAACCAGCCATATTAACCACCAGCCGACGCGGAAACCACCACACCGACGACGACGAGACCGGCAAACCGGAAAGTAGGAAACCCTAGCTTCGCCGAGAGGAGAATCAGAACGGACAGGAATTGAAGAGTCATGGAGAGAGAATGCTCACGTCGCTGAGAGGTGTTCTGATAGGAAATAAACTGAAAAGACACGCAAGAAAGAAAAGAAATAATAACAAGAGATTTGAGTCTTCCAAAACAATAACCAAAATGAGCGGACGAATTAAATGGCAAGTAATAATAGCAATGAGAAAAATACCAAAACACCCCTAATTACATATTAATTTCAGCAAAACGTGTGCACAAATAAAACAGATCTACACCATTAAAAACTACAAATAAACGGTCAAGATGTCGTCTCACCATTTCATTTTAATAGGGGTCTCATTGGATTCAATATCTATATATATATATATATATATATATATATATATATATATATATATATATTGTTTGATTGTAATTATAGTATTATTATGGTAATTATTAGATAAATTACTATAATAATTATTAGTCAATAATACTAATATATGTGATGGGTTGATTGCCAACCTCAACCAATCTTGTGCATGCAAGAGCCTCAACGATTTTTGGAGTTAGAGAATTCCTAAAGGCATCTAGTACGTACTCATTGATACTAAATGGTGATTCAGATGCAATTGTAAATATATGTAAGGAAATTTGGCTTTGGGTCAAGGAAACAGGAAACAAGGATAACGAAAGAGTTGGTCAAAGTATATTGACAAATCCGTTGTAGTCTAGTTAGTTAGGATACTCGGCTCTTACCCGAGAGACCCGGGTTTGATTCCCGGCAACGGAATTATTTTCACGTTATCTTGGCCAGCTTGATGAGCTTCTGTAGAATCCTTAGATGTTGGGAAGACTGAATTGCAGTGTTTGATGATCAACATGCATATGAATTATTATTTCTTCAAACTGAAGATTAAGATTTAAGAAGAATATTATAGCAGTGAATTTTGTCATAAGAATACTGAACATACATATTGGATATCAAGTATTGGTGTATTGGATTTATATATGTACATTTGACATCATGTATTGAGCTACAACTAATATATATCCTCATTTATATTACAAAATTTATTGAGATTAATATGAGCAAACTAGCAATTCCTGATTTCGGAGTAACGGAGCTGATGAACAGCGATGAGAAGTAACTGAAACGAGCAGTGCATTCTCAAGTTCTCTAGATAAACCTCGGCTAAGAAGTGAAATGATGTAGTCCATGAAGACTGCATCACATGGTAGTGTAATTGGCCCATCGCTTGGAAGTCCAAATTCTTCTTCAGACATACTTAAGAGTTGCCTAATGATATGATTCTCGAGATATGATAGAGGGACAACAAACCGCTTCTGATCAGCAGTGTAGATAGTGAAATGACCCTTGTAAACTGTACTGCAGCTATCTGAATCATCATATAGACTTGGAAATGAAATCCTCTTTCTTCGGATGGCAGCAAATTTCTGCCATCTTCTGGCCAGCTTAATGAGCCTCTTTGAACTGATCATGATGATATTAACTTAGAAAATAGAGAGAAAGATTGGATGGAAGAGAATAAGATTTGTAGAAACCTTGGAAATTGGGTAGAATGAATTTCAGTGTTTGATGAATAAGGAAATGATCTGATCTATTTAAAGTGATGAGGAGGCTAAGACAGTCTTTAAGCTGTTGAGGAGGCAAAACCACATGATTGACACTGAGGAACCACATGGTTAGTTGTATGGGGCCTTTTAGCTTCAACCCCAAATATATATATATATGGGATATATCTAGAGTGTGGCCATACATAAATGAGGAACCACATGGTTATGCTTACCAAATGGCCAAATTCCATTTAATTTCTTCTCTCATTTGGCTAGTTTTCTTGGAATGACACAAGTAGTTGAGCTTTCTCTATATGTTCAATTTCATTGATGCATGTGGGGAATGATGTTCAAAGGCAGGTCTTTATCAACAAAGTTGTATGTATAATTTCATGATGACAAAAATGTGTGGTAATGTTTCTTATCTTTAATTTCTAGCTGGCTGCCCACCCATCTAAATTATTTCTCTTAGCCACTCAATCCACCTCCCAAACGATCTATATAAACACATATAGAATTGAATTGGTATTCACCCCACTCAAATATTTCCTACCTTGGTTTCTGCATTCTAAAATTGTTTCTATAGCATCTGGTTAACAGTACTGCCTCTGATCTGCTTAAAGAAGATCGAAATTAAACATCCCAGAATATAATGGCGATTAGTATGACTCGCATTCTCCGTGCTAAGCAGGGCCTCAGAAGGTCTTCTTCAAGAACAAACAGAGAAAGTGAGGTTCCTAAGGGGCACTTTGCAGTTTATGTTGGTGAGAGCGAGAAGAAGCGTTTTGTCATTCCAGTTTCCTACTTGAAGGACCCTTCTTTCCAAGACTTGCTGTGCCAAGCTGAGGACGAATTTGGATTTGATCATCCAATGGGTGGACTCACAATACCTTGCTTGGAGGATACCTTTCTTCACATCATCTCTAGCTCGAGTAGATCTTGAGAGACTACAAACAGCTTAATTAGATTAATTAGTGGAGACAAATTTTTGTAGAAAAGATCAGATCAGAGTTTTATTGTACAGTTACTTGTTTCCCTTAGCTTTTTGGTTGTCTCCCCAGGATAATTCTTGACAAAAATACAAACAGATTATTTTAATTAGGAGAGAAAATTTTAATTTTGCACAAGAAAGATCAACATTTATTTCTGTCCATCGATCTTCAGTTATATGGAGTACGTCCTAATTTGCTCTAAATAATGTCTATGTCTAAAGTCCAGTTGTGCCTTATGTCCATATGCTTGAAAAAATATGGACATTTCATGAATTTTCTGCAACAAATATTATGGAATAGCTAGAGATCCAAGTCCAGTGTCACAAGTAGCACTGAACCCTTTTGCTTTTGTAAATATATGGCCATTTGTCATATATAGATCCATCTTGCAGGTATTTTTTTTAGGAGCCTCTTGAAACCATACTGCCATTTTAGGGAAAATAAGTAGAGATAAGCGTACTATAGAGGTTACTATACATAGAAGAAATTATATCCCATCCATATTCAGCCATATATATATTTATATATATCTATATATGAAAATGCATATTTAACAATGTTAGATCTAAATATAGTCTATAATAGAATCTAAGAGAAACCTAACCTCATAGTAGCGGAAGCTGAATTAGTGTTAATTTCCAACCATAGTTGATGTCCCCTTGTGGTGTGTTGCCGACCTTTTGAGTGGGTGGTAGGCATGCAAAGTAATGTAAAGAATTACCAGGTCTCTTGTGGGACACATCTTATATAATTTGTGGCATATTATTTTCTCTTAATTCACAAAAAAAAAAAAAAAAAAAAGTTTAATTAGCTGTCCTAACAAAGCACCTAATAATTTGTTGTTTTTGTTTTTTTTTTTTTTTTGGAAAATATTTTCAAAGTTTGCAAATGAACCATTAGTTCTGAATACAATTCTCGTAATTATAATTAAGGAAATATAAAATGTAATTAAGAAATAAAATTACAAAATTGACTAAATGTGTATTCATAAATATTTAGGAATTTTCTTAAATACGCACATATACTTATGTACTATATATATTAATTATCTTATACATTTTAAGAAAAAGAAAAAATGTGAACGGGGATTGGATTGATGATAAAATAGAATCCTGGGTCGCGAATAGTCATTTGATTCATGAGGAAGAAAGAAAATTCTTGGTTCAGCTCGCCGCCTTAACGACAGAAAAAAAGATTTCTATTGAGTCTGACTCATAGCAATCATTTATCAAAGAATGACTCTGGTTATCAAATGATTGAACAACCGGGAGCAATTTACTTAGGATACTTGGTTGACATTCATCAAAAGTATATATATATATATATATATATATATATATATATATATAGAATTAGATTCATATGAGAACCCATCTTTAGGTAGGAACATAGGAACTAATCGTAGCCTCTTATTTTAATCAATCGACGGTCCCTATTTTTTAATACGTTAATAGCTTAATTAGTTTTACTTCTTATGCTGAATGGATTTATTTTACGCCAATGGGGGGTAGTTTAGTATTTTGCCAATGCTAGTTAGTGTGTGATAGTAGGCTTCTATTTGCAGACGGTAAATTCAAATTTTGGTGGACTCCTTCATACACTCGACTACCGCATCCCATTGTTCGTCGTTCTCGCTCGCCTTACGTTGCTTCTGTTCTCAAGATGGCCGACGTTCATGGTAGGAATCCCAAACGTCCTTGTCCGGCGACGAGGTCGTCCATAAAAGGTCGGTTTTTTTTTTTTTTTTTTTTTTTTTCATTTGTGTTGTATGCGCTAGTATGAGCTATTTGCTGTGTTTTTTTATCATTCTACTTTTGTTTTCCGTCTATTATTGGGGGTGGGTGTGTAGTTGTGTAGGGTTTGGGTTTGTGTTCATTGTCGCCGGCCATGTCGTTTTTTCCCTTTTTCGATTCTGCCTTGTTTTAGAGTTGTTTGATTTTGTGATTTGCATTATGGTTTAGCTTGTTGCAAGCACGGTTGGCGTTCGGAGTTTGTTTGTTCTTTTTTTTTTTTCTTTTCGTCCGTGTTACCTGTCCTTTTTTTTTTTTTTTTTTTTTTTAATCTGTGTGGGTGAATTTTTGATTTGGTATGTGGGTTTGTGGGTTGGTCATTGTGTTGGGGGTGTGGGTGTGCTTGTGGCTGGGAACTATGGGGGGCTATTTTTATTTTTATTTTTTTTGTTATGGTGTGCTTTGTACTGTTTGTGGTGTTGATGGGTGTGTCTAAGTCAGTTTGATTTTATGCTATGTGTTCGTTAAGTTGGTTTCGGTGGTGGGTATATGTCAATTTTTGCTTTTGTCCTTTTCTCCAACCTTGAGTTTGGGTTTGTTTATTGGTGTTAGTTAGTTTGTGCTGTGTGAGGACCTCAATGTCTGATTATGTGGGTTGGGTTATTGTGCATTTGTTTTTTTTTTTTTTTCTTTATGCTTTCTTGGGTGTTTTAATGGGCGTTGTTCCCTTTCACTGCTGGCCGAACCGGAATTAGGGCTCACACTATTCATCCTAACATATGTTTAGCATTTGTCAGTAACCTAGGTGCACACT